CAGTAATAAGGTCACCAGTGCCACGATTGCTTGCAGTCAGACTCGCGAAGGGGTCAAAGGATAGAACAGACGACTTTGATAAGTCTTAACACTTTTCCATCCGAGGAAACGGTGTCATCGATAACCGACGGCCATCTGGATGACAGATCAGTGATCGTGGGAAAACACAAACCGGATGGTTCACGTGTGCTCAATAAAATTCGATCGCCTGTTAGAATGCATGTACGATACTCGACTCAGGAAGTCAATCTCTCACCGTTAGCGCCACGTCTCGTCACAAAACAGACATTGCCTATCCATTGGAAGTCCGCGTCCCGCGTCCCTTGCACGGAGTCAAGGTCATTGAAAGTTCCCTTGTCTGAATAGCAACACCGACTGTATCACTGTGGCCCAAAAGATAACTATTGTGTAAATCCTTGCTCCACACTACAGCTATATTGTAAAAACAGCAATATTATTACTAGATTACTCTTAACAATAACAGCAGCAGCATTCTTTGTACCACTATTAGTAGTACGAAATTGGCAGCACTGCTATGAATAATATTACTATTAGCGATATTAACACTGATAACCAGTTAGTAGAAATTTAACATCAATGGTAAAATTGTAGTCTACTATCAATACAGACTATTATTGGTACAGTCAGCAGTTTTACTAGCGTTGTTAACACTAACAGCAATAGTGCTGTAATAGATTTATCAGTGGCCTATAAAACCGCCAGCATAATTAATAATACTATTTCAGTCATTGTAGTGCGATAATACCATCACTTGAGTCAATGTAGTGTTTAAAAAACTAAAGCTGAAACTGATTAGTATGATATTAAATAAAGTTTTTGATAATGCAGATAAAAAGAAAACTCCTCAAATACTGACTAGATGCGAAATTACCAAGAACAATGATCTTGAATATGGTTATATGAAAACGCCTCTGATTACACGTCGGTAGTTTTTCTTAGTGTGTTACTTGAGAACATCGTCATGAACTTTTTGTATAAGCAAAAAATATTTGATGCATGATGTTCTCTGTATTCTCGGACTTTCCATACTTCCAATATAAGGCACCGGCCATTGTATTGTAAAAAGAACAAATCATCTCCCAAAGTAGATCTGCCTCTATTTTACTTCGCCATATTGCACGCTGGCCTGCTGGTCGACGTGTGCCGTGTTTCTGCACCTAACGAGAATTTCAAGAGCTGGAGAAAATGGCCAACCAATGTTGCTCAACACGGCCAACATCAGTTTTTTCGTAATCTCCCCAACTACTAATGTAATCTATTTTCAGAATTCAACGCTAGGTAATCATAAAATTTACGAACTCAGATCTCTCTCAGCTCAACGTTAACTCTGCAGTTCATTCAGATGATCATCTTGAGTCGTTTGCATAATTAGAATAGCTTTGCTTTGTGATACCCGCTGTATCCATAGCTTTTCAACACTACTGTTATTATAAAACATCGGTCATTACATCGCAGAAAGAAATATTCATCTCTGTATGCAAATCTGACTTCGTCTTGTATTTTCGTATTCCATGGTGATCTTCTGGTCGACGTCTGCCGTGTTTCGGCTGTCACATGAGAAGATCATGGACCTGAGTGTATGGTCAATGCTCAACCGATTTGTCTAGCAGGGCAAGCCTCCTATTTTAATCTCCGCATTCACCGAGGTCACCATTGTACCAAAGGGAATAGAGTCATTCCTAACACAGACCTACCAGTTCACCGGTATTATGCGTCGAAGCCAACACTGTTGTAAACGATTCAGCCGGGGTTCGTGCGCTTTCGTTCGAACAATTGTTTTTGTACGTTACAAATGCAGTGGGTCGGCAGTTATTCTTAGTGTATTCTTTGACAATACCATTTCACTATGGGATACTGCTGAAAGAAAAGCTGAACAAAGATGAAGTGCAACAACACCTTTACGCAGAAGGTCTGACATGTGCAAACGGAGTCATTTCAAAATTAAACTTCACAAGCTAAACAAAATCTTGTCATTAGATAAGTCTCAAACAATGAGTCATGCTTACCAAGGCACTTCCTTTTTAGACATAGTCCTTGACCGTATCGGATATTCCGTCTGGGGTCATTTAAACCTTAAATGCAAAATTCAGTTTAAAGGTATACAAAAAGTACAAAGATTAAAGAGCCATATCTGAAAAAACACGGATGATATTTATTCGTGAAACAATAGTAGGATTTGCGGATTTATGACAAAAACTCAGTGCGATACGAAGAAGCGGACAAGATGGCAGCGAAAGCTCAATAACAGGAAAAAAGTCCGGAGTTTCTGGAGTAGAATTCATTGATAGCAAATAAGGTATTGCGCCAGACCCTTTGGCGCTTCCGAGATGGAAAGAATCGTGAAGGACAAGTCTGAACACCCACTTACCGAGGATGAGAATATTTTTCGGTGATATGGAGAACTGGGGAACCGCTTCAGTTGCGCAGCAGGGAACGGATATTCGTATTTCTGTAGATCGCAAAAGCAGTGAAAACCTAGAAAAGTGGAAAAGTTGCTGGAATCGATGAAATTCGACCTGAAATGCTTAAACCATTAGGCGAACAGGGCATACGCTAACATGTGCTTGTCAAACCACAGTGGTTACGGGGAAGACAGCAAAGGACTGGAGAACATATGGCTGTTGTACCACTGTTTAAGAAGGGACACTATAAGAAGCGCTCGAATTATTGGGGCGTTACATTGGCAAAAATGCCAGAAACAAGATATCACAGAATAGCTGATTCTACGATACAAAAAAACCAGTGTCGGCATCAGGTCAGGCCGAAGCACATCTGACCAGATCTTCGCCTAATGCAATATTGCTGGGAAATCCTGACATTTCGTTAATTTAGTTTGCAGGTGATTTGCTGATCTGGAGAAAGGAAAGCTTATGATGGGCTACGGCGTAACAAGCTACTGAGCATGCCTGCGAATATATGGGATCGACGCTCAGTTATTACGGGCGTTAAGTCTAGACTCATTAGCCTTGACATTGGTCTCCGCCAAGACTGCGTTATTTACCATCCTTCGTTTGTGTTGTATATGGATAGGATAGTTAGGCTCAGTCAAGGCGATGAGTGTATCAGCGTAGGAGACGTGCAGTCGAGAAATTTGCTGTTCGCAGACAACCTCGTTTTGTTAGCATCTTAAAACGAAGCTAATCTCTAACGCCCTATGGAAAAATTCGCAGCTGGCATGCATGTGAACATACCCAAAACGAAAAGCCTATTACTTCTCTCTCCTACCCGTTGCTCTCTTCAGATCAATGGAGAAGCAGTGAAGCAGGTGGAGAAGTACAAGCACCCCGGTGCTGTTTACTGTGATAAAAAATTTGAGGAAAAAAATAGACCGGTGGATTGGAGTAGCCAGTAGAGTTCTGCGTGAACTAGCCCGAACCGTTGTGACAAAAAAAGAGTTGA